TGGGGGTTGTACTCTAATACATTTTTGATGTATGTTGCCATGCTGGTGCTAAAAGAACTTGAGTCGCAGTTTTTGCATCATACATGAATGCACTGGATAGCTCCATTGTAGTCCATTTTAAAGTCTGAATGTCCATGGAATATTTCATAGTAATGCATTGGTGATTGTGGCTTGCAGATGAGCATTGAAATGGAGCAAATCTTCCAGTTTCTAGTTTCATATCACATAGACATCCAACAATACTACATTTACTGCGAATCTCTCCTCGTATGGTAGAAGAAATTGTTTTTTGGTTGGTTGGTTGGTTTTTCCAAGGCCATCATGGATCCTCATATATAGCTTTTTGGATGGGAAATACGTCTAGTATGTTATTTCGGATGGGAAGCACTAGAAAATTAGTAGCAGGGGTACGATGATTTGTTGGTTCAGAATACGGAGTAAATGCCAAAATCATTCGATTAAACTTTTGGGCTTGGTGGAGCAAAGAAGATAATAATGAGGTACCAAAAAAAAAAAAAAAATTTAATAGCGTTTGTTTAAGAACTTCGCGTCAATATTTTACATGGTCCTAGTGAAGTCTCTAAGCGGAGAGAGTAGCACCAGTGGTAGTAATTCTGCAAATGGATTGCACTTGCGAGATGGTAGTGATACAGCGCTTTCAATCGTTCTGTAAATGGATCACACTTGCACAAAAAATCTCGCATTATCTAGCGACATTCGGTTGTAATCTGCATTTATAGAGAAGCTTGTAATTTCACTATTGTGTTGGGCCGGTCGTACAAAATCTCCGTAGTTCTTCAAATGCGAGCAGAGTATCTGCATCAAAACCGCCTGCAAACTGGACGATTTTGATTGTTAGTGTAGAATAGAACGTGGCGGAAGGTAAAATCAATCAGAAAGTCCCAGCAAAAGTTTAGCAAGGGGAAGTTCCATTCCATGGGAATCTTGGGAGGTTAAGGATGGGTATATAAACACTAAACAGACAGCCCCGCACACCTGGTGAACTCGATAGGCAAAGCGAACCCCTTGGATTAGTAGGTCGTCGTCTTGGACGGATCCACTGCTTTCCAGTTCCTTAGCTATCCTCTTCATGTACTGCCTTGCCAGCGCCACTGAGCTGAACTTTAGCTGCAAAGAATACAGACTATATTGTTAAACAATCAATCATTAATAATCACATGTTTTGTAAATTAGGATTCAGAAGCCCCGTGGCTTAGAGAAAAGCGATGGGAATGGGGTTAAAAGAAGGGCAAATTGCAAACGGCTTTCGTGTCGTCTTTAATTAATTACTGATTGTCAAGTCAAGTGGCAGGAGTTCGCTAGTCTTAATTAGGCGGTATGTAATTTTTGTATTTTTATTATTCAGCCGTTGAAATGTCATTATCAGCTGAAGAAAGATTAGTAGTAATATGACTACTGTGCCTACTAAAAGCTTTTCACTGAAGCTCTCCGGTGTTTCCACCTACCTGTCCAATCACTCCTGTATCCAGCATCCATGCCCAAGGAATGTGCAATTCTCTGTATTTCTTGCTCATGCCTTCTCTCACCCTTTCAATGTTGTTAGTGCTTTTCTCCAATCTGCGCTCGGATCAGTTTAAACATGTTATAATTTCAAGGGATCTAAAAAACTAGCAGATTGTAGTAACCACAAGCGTGTGTACATTCTCGCCTGTCTTGCAATGCCTGCATTTTTCTCAGGGACTCTGTCAACTGCTGTTTTGGATTGTCCTTGTATGACGAGACTTCAGATTCCAGGTTTTTCATTTCTCTGTAGCTGCAAGCGGCTTCCCTCAGTGCATCTGCTTTTCTTTCTGGCCACTGCGGAAAATGCTTCAAAACAGCCCTCTCATCGACCAGGCAGGATAATTGCCCATCTAGCCATTTTACAAATGATTCCACTTCGGAAATATCTGCAAATGCTGCATCCTGCACTTCCCTTGACAAGAAACTCACTAGTTCCCCATGCGTTTCCACATCTGATTTTATCTGCATCACGAGGACATGACGTGTAGTATAGTAAAAAATAAAATCCTCGAGAAAAAAAATCAAGATTTGTAAATTTTGATAAAACAACAATGAAAATCCAATTGAGTTGTGCTCAAGTGCAGTTAATAGGAGTCATGCCAACTTCCTGATATAAAAAGGTGATGAAAATGGATATTACTGCGCTCACATTTAAGAGGTAAGTGATCGATTTTCGATCTCTCCTATCATGTTCTTCGGACTCAGGATTGGCGGATGTCCTGTTGAACCAGCTCTGTTCTCCTTCTGGGCATCTCTTTTCATAAGCGCTCGGTAGAATTCCACCACCTCTGGAGCGCGACGGAGAGTTTTTGATCTACCAAGAAGTTTTGATGGTAGAGGTGGTGGGGGAGGGGCGGCGCGCGCTGCAGGGGCATGCAACAACCTATTTCCATTTGATTCAGGTATTGGCCCCGGCAATGCTAATTTGACTGATTTGGCTTGTCTTTCTCTATGAGCTGCAGGTTTTATGAGATCTTCTCTCGCGCCTTTCTTCTCCTCCAATGCGAGATTAGGCTCTGGCTTCTCCACCGCGAAAGTCTGCTTGTGCTGAGATCTGTCTGTGTCTTGGCGTCCGTGGAACTCTGCAACTTCTTCCAGAGCATGGATTTTCTCTCGACATCATGGGCTTTTAGCGTAGTCACTTGTGCTCGCAAGCGGGCTACTTCTTGCCTCAGCTCCAAATTTTCCTTCTCCAGGAAAGTGATCCTTACCTGAGAAGCTTCAAGTTCTTTCCTCGCGATGCCGCCATCCATCGGCATTATCTCCTCCAACATTTCTGTCCCTCGTGATTAGAGAAGCAGGAGATACAGATAGCTTGATCTTCTTGTCTTGGTCTGTCAGGGATGGCTGGACAGCTTGCAGTTTGTTACGGCTGAGCCCTGCATGCTTCATACTTCAAAGAGGAATTCTGTCGTGTTGGGAGGGCGTCTGGGCCATTGCAGATACGCAAGCACCAATTCGCTCACTTCCTAGTCTAATTGAGAGCTGAGCCCAGGAGTGGTTTTGTAAGAGTTTGCAGGAATATTAGGAAAAGAGATTTGTGTGGTAGCTTTCTCTAAGTTGTCAAGTTAGGTGCCATTTAATTTTCAACGGATGTTACCGGTTGATGTATTTTAGTCTTTTGCTCCTCTTACACTCTCCAAGAAATTAAACCTTTTTCCTGCCCAATGTGCTCTTCTTTTTCTCTGCCCAATATTTCATGTGGTCTTGGCCATGACTTGTGAGGGAGGGTAGAGAGGCAATGAAACTCCAACAGTGAGATCAACACCGCGACCGCGCGTGGGGTATAAATTATTCTGATGTTTAAATTCTACTACTTGATTTACTCGCAAGAGTCAGCAATAATTAGTCTGGATCATTAATTAAACCTCAACGGGGTGCAACCGACGAAATTTTTTCTTGATTGCAAAAGAGCAACCGCATGATTTAAGTCTAGACACACGTACAAAACTCGATGAACTATGGATTGGGGGGGGGGGATCTAAATCATTTGTTTGGAAGAACAGCAGTAGTCTTTTTTCTTTTTTCCTTTTTTCTTTGTGTGTGTGTGTGTGGTGTTGCATTTCAAAAGTCCATGTGGAAAAATTTGTGACATGTCTGCCACTTGAAGTCTTCAATATCGGGAGTTATTCTTTGCTTGTGAAGCTGGCTAGGTGAAGAAGTCGAAAAGCATGGTAAACAAAGGGGCGCGTGTATTGTGACTGATGCTGACGGAGGAGGGGAAATTAAGAAAAAGTGTAGCCCCTATTATTTCCTACAGGCTACGCCCAAATCTTAACTTAATTTTTACTTAAATCTGCATTGATTGATTCCCTTCAATCGATCAATGAGGAGTTGTGGCTTATATTTACACCGACCGAATCTATAATGATTTTAACGTTCACTCACTCACTCACTTTCTTTGGTGGTTGAAGAAGAATACATAATCAAAAAAAACTCATGATTAAGTGGAGAAATCAAGCAATTTAAGTTACCATATGCCACTTGAAAGTAGCTATAATGTCGTCAATTTATATTGAAAGAAGAATGCGCTTGATAATACTGGGAAAGAACCAAGGTCCTTTCTGCAAGAAAACGTGCTGCTACTTCGCTTGAATTCATGACAGCTGCTCCAAGTGATGCCCAGCTGTTGGGAAAGAAAATCAGCCGTGTAATGTAATGTATCAGATCAGATTACCAAGTCCGCGTAGTGGGAGTGTTGAGGACCTTGACTCAAAAAAGTCTTCCTAGCACTGATTTTTATCAAATAAATAGTAGTAGGTGTTACTTGCCTTGGGTCCAAGGGAAGCTCCGGCCGTCCGTCACAATTGATCAGTCAAAGAAATTGTTTGGGTTTCCGAGTTTGAACTTTCAAGTTCAACCAACCAAATGAGTTTCTTGGGTTTAATTTATTGAGATCTTGCAGGGAATCGGCCGCTGCTCGTCTGTTCTTAATTGAAAGCCACATTGAATTGAATGTAGCCAACCAAATGAGTGCGACTGACATTTTAGATCTTTTTTACTAATTCACTGTTGCATTTGTCTGCGTTGGCCCTGATGATGACAACTCTGTCATCTGTGTTAAGAGATGGGGCCTTTGGCTATGCAATTCGAAAGGCACACAAATAATGTTTTTCGAATTTTTTGGTGCAAAGTGTTTTTGTTGGGGGGTTGTGGCTGATCATGAAGTGAGAATCACCGCATGAAACAATTTGACGCACACAAATCATTATTGATTTCTTCAGGTCTTTAATAATGGATGAATAGCTTATAAACCAGATTTGCTGGTTCTGTCCAAAATGGACCACCAAATTTAAATTTAGATCTTACCCATTAAGGGTTTAGTTTGTTTTTTATGAGCAAACATGGGCACCTGCACTAATGAGATATACAAGACTATGCACAATGAAGTACAAAAGACCATATGGTCAGTGGTTTTAGTTTTGAATCGCTCAACAAATTTTGGATATAATTATGCGGCCGAGCTTCCAACCTTATGACGAGAATTATCAGTTTTATTTCTTTTTTGACAATCGGTGGTCAAACCCCAAAAAGATACGAAAATTTGTGTATTCAAATGTATATCTACTGCTTTTTTTATCATGTTCTGGCACTTGTATATACAGAGTACATTTAGCACTGCTAAATTTTTAACCTGAAGCTCATCATAGATGAGGAAACTTCAACTCGGGTAACATTTTGTTTGTTCACCAGCTTCCATCACAAAAGTCAGTCGCAATGTAGCATATCCTGACGCTTCTCTCTGCAGATTCTGTCAGAAATTAGACATGGTAAATCATACCCACTTCCAACAATGATGTAGGAGGCACATTCAGCACCACCTCAGGTCGCCTAGTATTCCTGCTTAAGAAAGCATAAATTACGTTAATGGCTACTTTCTTGAAAATCGAAGATGATTTCTTTGCCCTGGCATAAGAATGCCCCAGGATGTAAGCCATGCCAGCTTCCCTAGCTCTCAGTATGTGTACTGATTCCTCCTTCAGGTGAGGTCTTTTGCAATGTCCATCTTGTGAAATCAACACTCCGATATTTTTAGACTGCATCGTTGTCTCTCCCTGATTTGGATAGGAGAGCATCTGCTCAGAAACATCGACGGCTTCATCATCAGAGTTTCCAGAACATGTGCAAATTTGCATCCTTAGTGTTGGCTCATTTTCTCCTTCCGTTTCTATGAAGTTAACAATTTCGGACACCAGTCTGTTCTCAAAATCATAGTTTTCCTGTTGTAGGTCTTTGTAGCCGTATCTGATGACGCACCTGTACATACCATAGTCTTCTGGATATATCCTGGTTACTAGAAACCGTTCCTTCTCCCTGATATAGGGAACTTGAACAGACTTTACGCATACAAAAACTAGCACTTGATGAAAAGCAGGCAAGTTTGTCACAAAGTGCCCAAAAATGGCTGGTATGCCTGTCACTAGATTGGTGTAAATAAGCCCAATCCCAGGAACTCGAACCATTCCGAGACTAGGTCCTGAAGCCAATATCCTGTCCATTGAGACCTTGTTCTCCAAATCAAACTGGTGCTTCTTGAGGGATCCATAGTTCCAGATGAACATTGTGGCCATGATAGTCCACGACAGAAGTAGTGAAATCCAACCACCATCCAGGACCTTAAAGAAGACTGCTGACAGGTACAGGAGCTCTATCGACCCAAAAATTACTAAGAAGGAAGCAGCCACTACAGCCTTTTGCTTCCATACTATTACCATCACCAGGGTCATCAAACATGTTGTTATAAACATAACAGATGTTACCGACAGTCCTGCCAAAACACAGAGGAAGGACATGAAAGACTATGGTCAGTCTGGACATAAATGGTTTACATGTGACACTTAAGCATTTATGGTCAAAGTTTATACCATAAGCATGTCCGATCCTGTTTGTGTCTCTCAATATGATTGTCACAATTAAACACAGGCACATTAATATCCAATTGATTTCCGGAATGTAGATCTGACCATATATTTTACTTGATGTATGGACAATCTTCACACGCGGAAAACAATGTAACGCACAGCACTGGCTTACAATGGAGAAGGTAGCAGATATTACTGCTTGACTTCCCACAACTGCTGCTAATGTGGCCACTATAAACACTGGCCAAAACACGGGTTCTGTACATAGATCAGTAGCATAATTAGAAGACACAACAGAGAAATATAGCCAGTTACATGGAAGCCCTCATAAACATCTTGCCTGGTATGGCTTTGTAGAAGCTGCTTTCAATATCGTGATGATGCTGAGAGAGATATGCAGCCTCACCCAAATATGCAAGAATCAGACATGGATATACGAGAAATATAAAGGCCACCTGCAGGTTTATTCAAAATTTTAAATTAGAAAATGTTATGATTGCCTTCTTGTTCTCAAATTGGCAGTCACAGAAAGCAGAGTCCTCAGACTAATAGTTTACCTTAATTGACAATGCCGAAAAATGGCCCAGGACAGCAAACATTGTCTCCACGCCTGTGAAAAGAATTCAGTAATGTGAAGTCTTAATGAAGTTTTCCAACCAGAAAGAGTATATCAGAAGAGTGAAGGGAATACCTGTAATTGAGAGAACTACTCCTCCTAAAGACACCCAACCTTCCAGCCTGTTTCTTTTAGAAATTTCAACATGTAAATTGGAGATAGAGCTTGATATATGTGTGGGTTCCACCTGATTATGTTATTACATACCAATGCTGCTGATGCAGAGCAGCCATGCTATAACAATTGGAGCAAATAAAAAAGCAACCCTACTTGTTCCATGATGTTGAATATAAAATAGTACCACCAGAATGACGCAGGAGATCACCACAACATAATCTGGAATCAATATATTGCACGAGATAGAGTAGTGAGAATGGACAAAAAGAAAGTTCAAATTTGATTGAACCCCTAGAAAGATCTACAAATTAACATATTGAGAATGACTCACTCTCATGAAGTTCTGAGGCTTTAATTTTAACGCCCGAAACAGCTGAAAGAACTGAAAATAAAAATGTATCACAACTTTATTTACGATAGCTACAATCTGAAAAAAGAAACAACATTCTGTAGGAAAAGATGATGGGTAATATTGAGACATCTAAGGCTACAGTTCGCTTTCAGGTGTTGGATATAGAAAATGTCTGTTCACTACCAATTCCACCAGTTAACAACTTATGAGACTGTATTCTGGAGCCTACAACAAGTTACCTGATATTGCAGGAGTAAATATGCCATCACCAATGGCCATACAAGTCCCCAGAAGAACAAAGATCAAGAGTATATTCCGAAACTTTTGGTGCTTCTCAGCAAAAGACTTCAAAAAAGCGCTATCCCAAGTGTCTGCTGACCCTTCTGTTGCGTAAGAGGACAATTTCTTATCCGAATCTTGTTGATTGGGAAGAACACTAAGTCTTGCATGTCTGCACAGTAGAGAGTATAATGCAAAAGTGCCTCCTGCACCAAAGAAAAAGTCACGAAAAGGTAATGCAGGCATCATCTCTATAGGGTCAAAATGAAAGTGTACAGACACTTGGGCCTCCAAAGCATATACAAAATGGAACGTGGAAATGTTTGGGCTAATAGAAATATGCGAGACGGACAATATCCAACTGAAATGGTCTCGAAGCTCTAACAATAGGAAAGGAGAATAGGATAACGCTTTAGTTGCAAAACACATTCGAACTTGTTCATGACAGTAATAGCTCAAGAACAAAATTCTCTAGTAAATAAGTTTCTTATTCAGATTCCTAAATAATTGATACTACTTTGATTATGTAAGCCAAATTTTTAGGTTGTAGTAAGTTTTTTTGTTTACTTGAATCTCTAAAGAATCTCATAAAAAAGGACCAGAGAGGATGACAAACTATACCTTCTCCATTATCATCAGCAGACATGACAATGATTATGTATTTGCAAAGAGCAATAAGGGTAAACGTCCAGAAGATGAAGGACAGCACCCATAAATCTCCTCATCATCCTCATGAACCCTAAGCTTTCCAGAAAATGTGGTCTTGTAAACATAGAGAGGAGAAGTACTGAGATCACCATAAACAACTCCAAGGCTCTGATAAGCCAATGTGAGTGCAGAAATGCATGATGCCTTTCCAAGTTCTGATTCAGGACACAGAAAAGGTTGGACCAAGTTCAAAAAATGTTAAACCCACAAATTTAAAAGCAAAAAAAATCTTTTGTAGACGAAAGCCAATGTCCTTCTCTTCTGATGAAGTCCATGAATTAATTTCCAGTGGAAAGAGGAGATAAATTTCTAGTTTTTCAAATGGTCATCCCCCATCATTCACGAATCCAACAGAAATTTATTGCAACTTCCACGTCCTCACTCCTTGGTACTTGAAGATTGAGGTAATTCACTTCATCTGATATGGGCATCATCATTTAAAGGAAATATAAGCGGGAAAAAAAAAAAAACTCACCAGCCATATAATGTACTATGAAAAAACCATAATATCCGGCCTCACTCATTCAGCCTTGACTTCACTTATATTGACAACTTCAGCTGAACTGGCAAAAAACACTCTATTTGCAAAGCTTGCATTTTTGGAAAGGCAGAATGGTCATAATACCACTCAGAACATACATAATGCCCCATCCCCAATTCTAAGGCACCAAAAATGCATCATCACATTCTTGTCCTACTAATATTATTGATGCAAGCTGTGTCCTTGCAGCAAAATTTGCCATAGAACAAAAAAAAGCTACACACTTTATCGTCGGCTTTCCACTAGAAAATCTAACAGTGGGTCATTCACCGACCTCCGTCAATGCTGTGGACAATGACAAGTCATTCTCAGCAAATTGTAGTGAACCCTTTTGGTTATTGGTGGAGTGACTCTTACAAATGGAAGAATTAAATGGCCAAATTCAGAAAACAGGGGAATTGGTATTACCTGCTTAGGACTTCCATTCTCTACAGATTCTTGGTGGAGTGGTGAGTTCATTGGTAGCTGGACTCAGAAAAGATTGTATAAGGAAATTTTCAAGAGTTGTGAGCAAATGAAAGGGAAAGGGCAATCAATTTAAAGAGAATGAATCAGAAGAGCAGGAAAGCTGATAGGAAGAGAGTGAAGAAGACTTGCTAAAGATAAAAAGAGTGAGGAAGTGAAGGAAGCAGGGAATGTAGGTAGGGAGTGGAGGACATACAAATGTCAGTCAGTCGGTCGGTCAGTCAGGTAAACAGGCAAATGCTGTGTACGCAAGAAGTTGCAGAATGCATTAAATGCTCTCTCTCTCTCACTCATGGTCATTTCTTGCGTTTATCCTTTGTACTTAATGCAGCACTACTTGCTTTCTACTTTTGGATCTCCATTTTTTTCTCCATTGGTCAAGAGGTGTACTAGGACTTTGTTGGGCTGTCAAAAAATTTAGAACTTAGTCAAGTCAACTAAAATTAAGTATAATCATAATTGAGGAAATTTTTGGTAAGTAGTAGTGTTTACTGCAGGATGATCCCATGGGTTTGAATTAGCAGTCTTTTAGGCATATAGTTTTCGAAAAATTTCATCTTGATGATATTGGTAAGATGGCCATTTGGAGAAGTTCATGAGAGTGAAAGTTTTTGTGAAGTTTGCACGTCTTTCGAGCATATTTCTGGAACCTAGGATTCTTGTCGATTTGTCTGAGATTGAAATTGAAACTGTGAATAATCCATGTGAATGTCCAATTCTAAGCGAACAAGTTGAGCTTCTCACGAAAATTTCGTAGGCACCCGTCTTCTCGAATCCTAATCTTTCTCTTGATTTCACCTACGCTTCTTCATGTAAATATCATGCTACAAAGCGACTCCGATTTCATCATGATGATGACCCCATAAGTACACATTTCATTATGAACTTTTCCTAATAGAGAACAATAATGCTTCTGATACCAAACAATTGACACGTTATTGAAAACTAATAGAGTACTACTCGATTTATTTCCATGACTTGTAGAAATTAGGGAAGGAGACTAGTGTTGGAATGTATGCCCTAAAACAATGTATTTGTTTTTATTTTATACATTCCTTATTATATATTTTGTATTTTAATAACTTCTTATTTATCTGTTAAATATTAGATACAACCGATAAGTCCTTATAATATTACTAATGTGATGATAGTCACAAGAGTTGGTGACTATGAGATATCAATCGCATTTATAGTAATATTATTAAAATTCCCTAGTTTTTGTACTAATGAAATAGGACATCTTTAGTACGGTAAAACTAGTACACAGTTAGCCTCTAATTAATGTAATTAGTGGTTGTTCTCATCAACTATGGTATGAAGATACTTAGGCTAATGTGTAGATGATTTGAAAAGTACAAATGCATTGGAGTGATCCGTTTAGAGATCCCGTTAGGATATCTATCTAGTGCCAATGGTGTATCTCTAGTGAAAAATTGTGTAAGTGATCCTGCGACTTGAGATCACCATAGAATCTTGAGTGGGAATCACTACATTTTGACTCTAATTACTTGTTACTCTTTGAGAGTGGCTTAAAGTGTAGAAGTTGGATGTAGTGTGAAGCACGTAAAGAAAATGGGTGATCAAGATAGGATTTACCACTCTGATAGAAGGAGTTGATATCCGGATGGCCACTAGTGAGAAATTAACCCTAAAGTCGACTGTTAGGTAAATTGAAGAATGTCTTCAATTTAACCTAATTAAGGGTAAATTTCGGGAACTAGAAAATTTAATTAGTCATCAGGGAATTGGCACCTATTCCTTATTCCTGACTAATTGGATATCTTTGGTGAAAGGATAATAATTACACGGTAATTTTTCACAGAAAGGTTAGGTCAAATTCCCTTGACTAATTCTGAATAATTGGGCAATCACGATGTGTTGCTAGACACCGCTCGTGATTTATAATTATGGATTAATTATTTATTATAAGTTATGATAAAATAAAGTCGTTTATTTTATCTAATTATTAAACCATAATTATTACCAATACATTCGGGACCTATTGGGTCACACGCAATAGAGATTTAATCTTGGATTGAAACTATGTGAATTATTGGGGTTTAATTTTAAAAGAAAATTAATCCCAGGCCTATTTGAGCAGATAAGAGTAAATGGTTATCTCTTATCTATCAGATGATGATAGATAGAGTCTTGAGTGAAGAGAAGTCTTAGGCTTTTGATTTTGAATCAGACAAGGAGACTTATCATCATATATTATCAGGTATCCCTCTCTCTCTCTCTCCAATAGTTTTTTGGCTGAGATACAGATACGAGAGGGTGAAGGTAACAAATAGAAAAAGGGAGAATCTGTGAGTGTCACATATTTTTTTCGAATAAGAGCAAGAAGGGCTAGCAACTTTTTCTTGTTATTCAATACATAGTTCGTGAGACGACTCAGGGTTGCTCTAGCGTGGATATCAGTAGAGGCAGGACGATTGGACTGCTCAAGGGCTGACCATCCTCAAACAACGCTGCAGGGAGACGCTGCTTGGATTAAGGTAATCCTATAACCCTACTTTTTATACATCATACGTAAAATCTAGGGTGATTCCTGGATGGTTTTAGGGAAAATTTTTTATTTTTCCGCCGCGTAGTGTCCCTAAAACCCAACAGTGGTATCAGAGCCATCCCTAAGAATTTTACGTATGATTTAGGCAATTTTGGATTCATGGATTAATAGGATTAATATTCCTAATTGGATTTAATTGAATATGCGGAATTATTGGAGAATTGTTTTTCTTTTTGTTTTTTTTTTTTTTAAAAAAAGGAAAGGTTTTCTTACGAAGCTTTTGAAGCTACGTACGTCTGCTCTTATGGAAGCTCGGATGGAGCTATTATGTTTTTTTTCCTTTCCGTGGATTTGCCTCGCTTGTGGATGTAAGTTTATCATCTGCAAAAGTTGCAAGATGATCATTGAAAAAAAAAAAAAAAAACGATATAGCAGGTTTGCATCTACAAACCTGCGGCTGCTGCGATGTTGCGGCTGCAAGGGCTGCCGCCAGTTGCAGCTGCCATGAGAGACCATGGTGGTTTTTCCATGGTGGCAGTAGGAGATGCACGCCTGGTGGTGGTTGCTGGGTAACAGAGCTATGAGCTCTCTGGGACAAAAGCGCAGCAGATTTGCTGTGGACATCGCCAGGGCACAGCAGCCTCCTCACGGTTGCTGCCCATGACCTCCGATGGCTGCTACCAGGAGCCGCTGCCACTGGTGGTCAGTGGAGACTCCAGTGGTGGTGGCTGTTGCGGTGGTAGCTCCGCTGTCCAGCAAACAGGCGACCAAAAGCAGCAGCAGGCCATGGGAGCCGCAAGGTCATGCGAGTGATTGCTGCCAGCGATCTTCCAAAGGCTGCCGCTTGCTGCCGCTGCTATGTGAGGCCATGGGAGGCTTCCTTGGTGGTAGTGGAAAGTTGCTATAGCTCTTGGTGGTTGCTAGGTAAGCAAACCAAGAGCTTTTAAGGCATGAGAATGCATCAAAACTGCTGCAAATTGCAGCAGCAACCTATGCAAGGAAAAGTTGCAGCAGGTTGCTGCTGTAGCTGAGCTCCATTGTTGCGACCACCTGGGAGCTACTGCTGGGAGCCGTTGCCACTGGTGATAAGTGCAGAACCCAGTAATGGTGACAGTAGAAATGGTGGCCAGTGGTGGTAGCCAGTGATTCTAGAAAACGATTGCAAGAGTGGTTAGGAAACTAAAATTTTTTTTCTAAAACTTGAAGTTTTGAACTTTTGGCAATCTTCTGAATTAAATCCCATTTTAATTGTTAAAATGTATTATGGAATCATTTATTTCATATATTATAGGTTGGGAATTAATTTAGAACTAATTGATTAATTTGAATTATTTTCCCATTCTTTCCTCAAATTAGTTGAGGATAAAGTTGACCTAATAAAATTTAATTTTACCAATATTTCTTGCGTATGCATGGACCCAAAATTTGTTTGGGACCTTAGGAATTAAATCCAATTAATCCATGAATTGAGATTGCTTATTTTACATGCTTTTCTTTTATTTAAAGTTGTTTAAATCGTGAAAATGCATGGTGGATGGTTGTGGATATAGTACGCAATATGATTGTGGTATTTTGGAAGGTTACAATCATTCTAGGTTTGAATGGTTGTAATTAATTTTAAAATAGGGCCTGCGT